AGATCGAAATCTTATCAAGATCTAAAGGTGTACAAACTTTTTTTTTTTATTTTCTCAATTTTTCTTGGCATTTCTAATTGGAAATCATGTTGGTGTATATCTTCATTAGACTAAAATAAATAGAATTAATCATTGTTGAAGTTTGATTTAAAGTTTCATTGCAACTCATTAATCAGATGCCCAGTGAAGATTCTATTTTCATATTCTTCATCTTAATATACATTTCATTCGTTCATTTCTATTAACTTTAGAATTCTCTTGTTAAATTTCTTCTTGGATGTTTTTGTTAACTTTAACAAAATAAGGATGAACAATTATATCCAAGAGAATGTTGAATTCGAGGATGATGTTAACAGTCGTTGAGACGGTCACAAACGGTACTGTATAGTGTCATTTCATACAGTTTGTCATCGTAAGTAACTGTCAATTAATGTTTGGTAAGTGCCGTATTATGTTCGTATTTAATCTTGCTGCATTCAACAGATAACAGTTGTCAAATTGTGTGAAAACTGAGTATTCGATCATGTAAAATACATTGAAATATGAACGTAATACTGCACCTATCAAACGACGAACAAAACCATTCAAAATGGCGGTTTACGGCCCTGCTTCTTTGACCTGAAATGATTTAATATCTTGATCTATAAAGACATGACATGTAAATAATGAATACTTTATACCATTTGAACTGTAACAGGTCAATGATTAACTGAAGAAAAATGAATCATTCTTCTTTTTATAATTCATTTATTAAACCAAAGGGCATATATTTAATAGCAAGTGTAAGATAATTTTTTCTCATATTTATTATAGATATTTTCTTGAGAATATTTTATTTTAGTTGTTAAATGAGTCAAATGAAAAAAAAATTGCTTGCTATAATTATGACCTCAATTTCTACAAATATCATGATAAGGAAGATTAGCATACTCTATAGAAGTGATGAATTCTTCGATTTTTCAATCATTTTTTTTTCAAAATCTCCAGTTCATGATTTATTGATTCATTGAATAAACCAAGTTTTTCTTTATTGAATTCATCTTTTAATCTATCACACTGTTTTTCTATGGATAAAAAAAAGTTGACACAAGTATGTGCTAGGTGATCAACCGGAATCATGATTATGGTCAAAGATGAAAAAATTATTATCATTGCACAATCTAAAATTAAATAAATATATTGCATACATATTTTCAATAACTTTTATTCTTTCAATATTGTTTAAGTAATTAAGCATTTATACATTATGGATACGAAAAAAAAGACGTCGTTTAAATTTTCTATAACATCTTTCATTTCATAATTAAAAAATGCCGGTATTAAAGCTTTTCTAAGGGCACCAACAATAAATTGCAATTGTTAATATAAGTCTAGAGGATTTTCAATTGCTTCATAAAGATCAAACATTAGATTTCGTCTTTGATTAATTGGTTCGATTCTTTGTAAGTCTGTCTTTGTGATTATGAACAACTTATGTAGAAATTTATTTTGTCATTATCGATGAACATAACAACTATACAAATTTTATCTAAGAATGCCAAACAAAACATAACAAGATATGTATAACTCAAGCTAGGATATATTTATTTGTCACTTGTAGATAAGAGTAACAAAAACTAAGAAAATAATTAAGAAGAAATGTACATCTATTTTTACTTCTCTTCAAGTGTCACATTAATAATAAAATTATATTTATTAATTAGAATATAAGGTACATATATCATTTGAACTTAATTCACGACTATAAATTCGCCAATCATCAATCCCACCTGTAAATGGACCTGCTGCATTTATTGTTCCATTAGAACATCCACTACAACCATTCAAACAATTGCCTAGTGTTAAATAGTTTGATGTTGTTTCACTTGCAAGAAATGTTGAAGCTGTCATAGAACTAACAAGTGCATTATTCACATATAATTTCAATCCATTTATCTCGCTCCATGTTAAAACAATGGCTGTCCATGATGATGATAATGATAAAATTGGACCTGTCACTGCTACAATAGTATTGTTCTTTGTCAAAACTTGTGCAATGAGACTGCCATTGGAAGCAAAACCCAATAATGGAAAACATTCAGATCCTGTACCTTGAGATGATGTTGATAGATGAACAATTGTACCAGA